TATCCAGGTCGCCGCTATCTGCTTCATCGAACCTTCTAGGGGGGAGGGGTGCGGGACAGAGAGGGGAGGACGGGAGGGAGAGAGGGGAAAGGGACAAGTAGATGATGGGCGAACGGAGACAGAAGGGCGCCGGTGCAGAGCTCTAAGGGAGAAATCGGAGGTGGAGGAAAGGGAAGGATGGGGAGAGGTGGAGGAGGAGGAGAGGGAGGACGAGGGAAAAGGGGAGGCGGAAAAGGAGGAGGGAGGCGGAGAGAAAGAGAAGGAGGAGGCCACGGGACAAGAACGGGGCGGAACTGGGCAGCAAGGGACAAATCAGGACAAACATCCGCAGGCACGGCAGAAAGAGGCGCCCGCCAAAGCCGTCATCTTCTCCCAGTGGACCGGCATGCTCGACCTGGTGGAGACGGCGTTGGAGGGGCGAGGCTGGGGCTACGTGCGGCTGGATGGAGGCACGTCCCACGCCCAGCGACGGGAAGTCTTGCAGGAGTTCGCCAGCAACCCTCGGGTGCGAGTCATGGTTCTGAGCCTCCGGGCGGGGGGGGTAGGCCTGAACCTTACAGCAGCCAACATGGTGATTCTGTTGGATCCCTGGTGGTGAGAAGGGGGAGGGGGGCGAGGGAAGGGTGGAAAAGGGGAGGGAGGTGGTATGGGATGAATTATTGGGTAAGGGGTCAGTCAAGATAATGCCCTGAAGGGTATTGACGTGGGAATCGTCGACTGTCTTTTCCCTGTCGTCCTCCCGTTTCCAGGACTGCGATCAGCATTCTGCCAGCAAGCCCTTGCATTTTCATCACCGCTTTCCCCCACAATTATCACTACAGGAATCCTGCTGTGGAGGATCAAGCCATCGACCGAGTCCATCGGCTGGGGCAGACTCGGGAGACTGTGCACATTCTCCGCTTCAAAGTCAAGGACACTGTCGAAGATCAAATGCTGGTGGTACAAGAGAAAAAAGCGAGGGTGGCGCGAAACGCCCTAGCTTGCGCGGGAATAGGCGACAAAGATGGGAAAGAAGGACGCTTGTCTTTGGATGATTTGCGCAGATTCTTTTGAGGCAGGGAGGTTTTCTGAAGACGTTGAGAAGAAGGACGATGGCTACCCGGAAATCGTCTTCCGGATTGAGTGGTACGTGGCGGAATAAAAAGCAGACTTGTAGTATTATAAGCTCCACTCCATCAAAACAACCTCTTAAAGTTTATTGTTTCGCCAAGTATTGCAATCAATCGTAGAAGATAGAAAGATAGAAATGAAAAGTACCTCTCGTAATATAATTTGGTTCCTCTTATTCATTTTTCAGCCAGCGAACGTGGCTATGTAGTGCAAGGAAAATGTTTAATGTAGGTGTCGAAAAAATGACTTTTGTTGCCTTACTATATTATATTATTACTGTCCAACGCCGCAGAATACATCGCATGAATTGCAAAATACGAGTCGGAGGAAAACATGACTTGTAGCCAGGCATTGCAAGATGTGTAAACGGTCAATAATTTCGATCAAATTTTCATGGGTCTCTTCTATTCTAAATTAAGTTGTACGACGAGTTGGTTGCACAAGAATAACCGGATGCAAGGTGCAAAGAAGGAGAAACGTGGGTTCAAATTTGAAAAAAAAAACCGACTAAGTTAGTGTATAACGGTCACGGCGGTTTCACAATATTTGCCCCCCCTCCCGCGCGCGCACATGTTTTGAGGGGGAAACAATTTTTGGGACACAAGGGAATGCGAAATTGGCATACTATATCGCATGAGTGTTAAGATCGTTATTACCTTTAAGGCTAATGCGAGCTGTAACACTACTGTCAATGTACGCAGTGACCCAACCTTTGTCAAGTATTTCATCTGCATGAGGGCACGCATACCTAAAAATGAACATCATCTGATGATGAGCTTGAAAAGTGATGCTTAACATTAAGGTATTTAATTTGATATCATTCTCATCATCCCTTCAATTGCGGCACATACGATAGTTAAAGCTAAAGGATAATACACACTTCGACAATGCGTCTCTATGTTTCATTTGTGTTGCTGCTAGCGCCCATTGCCGTCTCAGCATCCGCTGGTGAGTACCAAACGAAAGACTCAAAGGGGTTGATCCAACAAGATTGCGATTCATATCATGCGTCGCGTTGCATGCTCTCATATGGCCGTGAACACCCTGCTCTCTCATGTCCTGAACCATTTTTCATGCATCAACGTGAAGAAGTTGCGTCCTTCACGATTTCAAGGGAGTTTCTAGATATGTACTTCTCACTCTTTTCACTTGGGCGGTACCGTCTCACATTTTACCCCTATCAACATCTGATCTGATCACCACGACACACATCACATAACCTCAGCCATTATCAAGCCATCACTGTGTCTAATGATAGCTTTAGAACCTTATCCGCTGTGTCCTTTCGCACTGTAGAAAATTTCCTCTTACGACGCACAACACTTCTTTTGCGCATTCCATCTCTCATACCTACCTTGTCCACCTCCTCAGGCTCCTCCATCGCCCGCCTTTTTGGCAGCGACTTGTCAATGCCCCGAGATTGGTTGCGGGCATTGGATCACAGCTACGGCGGCAAAGATGCCGGCCGCACCGTCGACGTCTCCTTCGACTGGCACCATTCGGAGTCGACCGACCCCATCCCGGAGCAGCCGATCGACGAAACGCCGTCCATGCCGATGGAGCCGGCCGCGATGACGACCCCAGAGGCGCCGGAGGTTCCTACCCCAGAGACTCCTGCGGCGCTTGAGGTCCCGGAGATCCCCGCTATCCCTGAGATCCCTGAAGTCCCGGCGGTGCCGGCGATTCCCGAGGTCCCGGAGGTGCCCGAATCGACCGAGGTGCCTGAGATCCCGATCGAGGAGACCCCCTCTATGCCGGAGACCATGACGACCACGGAGGATGTTGAAGTGCCCGAGGTCCCGGAGATCCCCGAGATCCCGGAGATTCCGGCGATCCCCGAGATCCCGGAGATCCCCGACATCCCGGCGATCCCCGAGGTCCCGGCGGTGCCCGAATCGACCGAGGTGCCTGAGATCCCTATCGAGGAGACTCCGTCCATGCCGGAGACCATGACGACCACGGAGGTCCCTGCCCTTTCCACCCTCCCCTCGCCCCCCCAGCGCAAGCTGGCTTTTGTGGGCGATGCCATCACGCCCCGCGATACCCGGGTCGGAGAGGAACGTTCTTTCGTCGGCTCGTTCGATTGGAACATCCCCACCTTGCCCCCTCCCCCCCCTCTCCCCACCATCCCTGCACCTTTGGATACCCTCTTCCCCTCCCCTTTGTCGGATGCCGCCTGGCAAGTTCGCCTGGTCTTGTTGGGCAGCGCTAAATTGGCGGAGGAAGACGCCAACCTGGTGGCGGAACGTTTCCAAGCCCTGCTGGACAGCCGGTTGGAGGAGGTTGGAGAGACCTACCAAGGGGAGGTGGCGGCGAAAATTGCCTCCCTGGGAGCGGGGAACCGCTTGCGTGGGAAGGCCATCCCGGGCATGAAGGACCTGGAGGCTATTCCCCACCCGCCTTCCTGCGTGACGGAGAGCCTGCCGTCCTTCATGGTGGTGGCGGGCAATGCGCCCGTTTCTTCGGAGACTTTGCGCGCTGCCTTGGACAGTGAGACCTTCCCGTCCATCTTCGCGGCACCGACGGACTACTGTGGCGTCAAAGTGAGCGAGATTGTCATGGCCTAAGGGGTGACGCCCCGTGGAGGAGGGGTGGACGCTGGGGGGGGGAACTGCGTTGTCCGCTCCGGTCCACATGCTGAAGGAGAACGGAGAAGAAATGAAGGATGACGGGAGAGGACCGCCGGCTAAAGGTGGGCGTAGCACCCGGACGTTGGCGCGGGGATTTTATTTTGAATTTGTGCATTTGCAGCCGTCTGTGACCAGCCGCGGGACTTTTGGCCGAAAAAACCAGGGCCGGAGGTCGGGACTTTTCGGTCAGAGAGAATTCGAGGCGAGGGAAACACGATCGGTGGTCGACCGGGGCGAGACAAGGAGGGAGGGATCCTGATCTGTCGACAAGGCCGGGGTAAAAAGCGTGTGGCACCAGAATATAACAATGCGTAATCGTATCATTATACTCAAAGCATCCGGTGGGAGGTCGGACCTGGATTAAGAAAGAAGAGGCCTCGAGCAGCCTGAAAGCCTCGTGTCCTTGCCCTGTGGACGGAGTGCCCGGACCCAGAGCTTGCTCTTGTTTGATTGTTTTTTCCCGCCTTTCGTGGTGCTTTCTGACATTCTTGTCGACGGGAAACAATAGCCATGGTGAAAAATTGGTTTTAGGTTTTATCCGAAAGGTTGTTTTTGGTTCGGGTTTTGTGGAAAAACGAGCTATCCCGCCAGGTGTGGGTGGGAAATCGAGGGGTCTAGCGACGTACCATCGGCCCAGCTCAGGCGTGGCCGTCCCCTGATACCGTGCTAGACGAAGCAGAACCCAATGCACCACCGTGGAGGCCCTCGCTATCCCTGTCGTCACCCAGGCGATGCGTCGGCGGGGGACTCGGGGGGAAAGGGAGGAGAGGAGGGGCACGGAGTAGAGCCACAAAATGGGAGGAAGGACGGTATAAGGAAACGAAAAGGGCGGAAACCATGGCGAAAGAAACATCGAGTGCCCGTGCGGGGGAAGACTACGATGCAGGACCGGGCAGCATTGACGCTTCTTTTGAACCTTTCCTTGCCTACGGCCATGCTGGCCCTCTCAAAGCCCCTCCCACTCGCGCGATCCAAGCCACGCACGGTTAAGCCGCCCTGCCTAGATGTAGACGGCACGCTCTCCTTGGGCCCTTTCTCTCTTGTGAGCTTATCCACCGACACAGCCGTCGTTTCCGTATCGACCGTGCCAGAGCGCAACAAGCAGAGCGGGGTTGGGCCCTCGTCCATTCCTCTCCCATGCTCCCCTTGCTTGCACGCGAGTGTCCTGCCTCGTTTTCCTTCCAATTTGCCTTTTCTTCTCGGGTCATCTTATCATTCCTGGTCTTCTTTTTTGGGATCTTATAAGTTTTCTCATTCGCTTTCCTTCCCGTCACCTCCCCTCCTTACTCCTCGCTTCCATCCCTCCTCCTTGTCAACGGAGGGGCAGCTTCACAACTTCATCCCGCCCGTGAGTCCCCCGCGACTGGGAGCATACTACCCGGATGTATCCAGGTCGCCGCTATCTGCTTCATCGAACCTTCTAGAAAGCAACAGCAAAAGCTGCCCTGGGATGCCGTTACTAGTGTCTTCCGCGGGGTCCCAACCCTCCTTCTTCCACCCAATCCTCACTC